ACTCAATGACTGCCCCTGGCGGTACAAACTCAATGACTGCCCCTGGCGGTACAAACTCAATGACTGCCCCTGGCGGTACAAACTCAATGACTGCCCCTGGCGGTACAAACTCAATGACTGCCCCTGGCGGTACAAACTCAATGACTGCCCCTGGCGGTACAAACTCAATGACTGCCCCTGGCGGTACAAACTCAATGACTGCCCCTGGCGGTACAAACTCAATGACTGCCCCTGGCGGTACAAACTCAATGACTGCCCCTGGCGGTACAAACTCAATGACTGCCCCTGGCGGTACAAACTCAATGACTGCCCCTGGCGGTACAAACTCAATGACTGCCCCTGGCGGTACAAACTCAATGACTGCCCCTGGCGGTACAAACTCAATGACTGCCCCTGGCGGTACAAACTCAATGACTGCCCCTGGCGGTACAAACTCAATGACTGCCCCTGGCGGTACAAACTCAATGACTGCCCCTGGCGGTACAAACTCAATGACTGCCCCTGGCGGTACAAACTCAATGACTGCCCCTGGCGGTACAAACTCAATGACTGCCCCTGGCGGTACAAACTCAATGACTGCCCCTGGCGGTACAAACTCAATGACTGCCCCTGGCGGTACAAACTCAATGACTGCCCCTGGCGGTACAAACTCAATGACTGCCCCTGGCGGTACAAACTCAATGACTGCCCCTGGCGGTACAAACTCTAGCTCTGGATAACTGCCCTGAGCAGTTGTTAATTTTATTAAATTTCTTGGTGTTAGTAAAAATTTACAAAAATAAATAAAACTGCAATTATTTGCCTTTCAGCTTCTCTCCCCTGTTTGTAGTTTATGTTCCTTTGCTTCTGTTTTCCAGTTGGCTACCGTCTTCTCATTTGTTTGATTAGAAATTAGAGTATAGATGACTGTACTGTAATACGTACACACGAGGAACTCTCTTTTAGATTTTGTGTCGCTACAAAGCCATCCAACGCATTACTTGTTACAACTAGGTTGACTTTTATTTAAAGTTTTAAAACTATTTTTAAAATATATATATATATATTTTCTAATATAACAAAAAAATGTTCATATTTAAATTTGTAGGTTGTGGTGAAAAAAAAAAGGAGGGGGGGGGGCGCCAAAAGGGGGGGGGTAATCGATGAAAAACTATTTTTAAAATATATATATATATATTTTCTAATATAACAAAAAAATGTTCATATTTAAATTTGTAGGTTGTGGTGAAAAAAAAAAGGAGGGGGGGGGGCGCCAAAAGGTGGGGGATAATCGATGACTCTTTGGACTTGATCGCCACTGACACGTCAAATCGCCAGGTCGACAGTCACGCGGTGTTGGGATTACATGTGACCACCTCGCCCCGTCACTCTTCACCCGCTCCCCGCCCGAATTGGTCAAACAAACACGGGCGACTCTATCTGATCTGCGCGGCCGGACGGACGTATCGGGGGCTGTATCGGGGTGAATCCGAGAGATGCTGTGACCCTTCGGATGATAGCGGCGTGAGCTGGATGTTGTGTTTGATCACACCTGTGTCATGTTGTCTTTCTGCAAGCATTGGCAGCGGTGCATCAAAAATGCCCAGACCTGTTAAGTTGTGACCAAGCCACCGTCGGTCCCCCCTGTCTTCTGCCCGTCCCAGGTTTCCCCGGGCTATTTAAGTGCTGACCAGCGTTCCGCCAGATTTGTTCAACTGCCAGCCGCGTGCCTTGTCTTGGTGTACAGTGGACCTGGGGATTCTCTTAACGTTTGTTGGTGTTGAAGCAACTGAAGGCTGAATGAAGTTCTCGCAGGGGATTTAGAAAATGGTTTCACCCTTGGACAGCTAACTGCGATCAGTGGTTACTATATTGCAGAGGTCTCTAAGAAACGTGTTGACAGTATAATAAAGTGAACGACCGTTAGATACCAACTGTTTTAATCGAATCGTCCTACACTGATTGGAGGTGACCACCAACTGTTTTAATCGAATCGTCCTACACTGATTGGAGGTGACCACCAAATAAAAGGTATGCCACATAACAAGGCTTAACATGCCCTATAGTTATTATGCTTGACAAAAATGCGTCATATCACTAATTATGATTGACAAAATGCGTCATATCACTTATTATAATTGACAAAATGCGTCATATCACTTATTATGTTTGACAAAATGCGTCATATTACTTATTATGTATGACAAAATGCGTCATATCACTTATTATGTTTGACAAAATGCATCATATCACTTATTATGTATGACAAAATGCGTCATATCACTTATTATGTATGACAAAATGCGTCATATAATTATTATGCTTAGCAAAATGTGTCATATCACTTTTCATGTTTGATTCCATATATATATATCATACATTTCTGAGATTTTTATAAAAAATTGACTTAATATAAATTCAAAATTATATATCATAAATGATGGGGGAAGAAATAAGTAGTCAGCCATTTTCCGGGCACTGGGTTGGAAGTCTTCACGATTTTTCTACCAGTGCCAGTGCGCCAAAGTTGACAAAACCGTTTCATGTGCACTGGAAATCTTGCACTAAGATTGTTCAGTGCTTGATAAAACACTGTTGTTAATGTGGAGACATGCTTCCATTAAGTTAGTCATTCAATGGAGGCAATCTCAAGATAAAGAATAGGGCAAATCCCTTGGGGACATAAGTACTTAAACTTTTATCGGTAAATGAATTATTTGACGGCAGGACATTGTTTTATGTCTATAATCAAATATTTTGTCACGTCCATACTTCCATACTTTGATGTTTAACCTTAATGAGACTTGTCAACAAAAATTTGTAATTTGCGGACTGTCCAAGCGGATTGTGGCGGACAGTAACTGTGACGTCAACACCGTGACAGCAGTTCTAAAACGGGTACATAAATTGACTCCTGTATTGTGCCATCTTGTTCTATTTCAGGTCTGCAATGGTTTCGTATTGCATGGCGACCATGGCCGACAGGATCAAATATATTTTCCTTGTGTTCCTCTTGGCCGGTTGCCTCCCATCACGGGCTCAGTTGGCTCCGTCCAGTACCGAGGAGTACCCCAATTCCACGGGGGCTCCTTTCACACACCCACCAAGGCTGGACGCCCTTTCTCGGTCGGATCCCTTGTCGACAGAGAAGCCAGACGAAGCTGAGAGCCGGGGACCCGATGGCTTGTTGGAAGAGGCCGGACTGTCCATCTCGGCGTATCAAAGTCATAACATTAAGACCAAACCGAAACCAGAGACGGCGGGCAGTCAGGAGGCCTCTGAGCACGCCACTTCCGGTCTGCTGACCAAGCACTCGTCCGGTGAGTTTTTTTAAAGTAGACAAACAAATTATCTACTATCTGAGCTATCGATCTGTTCTATCCTATTTTCAGTTTCGATTTATGCTCAGGTATTTAACGTCGTTATCGTCTTCTTTATTTGAGGGCCCACGATCAATGTATTGATCATTCTGGCTCCTATGTATGTAGAGAGGATTCGCGATGCTTCTGTGCATGGTTTTGAAGAGGATAATGTCACTGGTTGCAAGGGCTGCTCAGCGAGGGTATCAGGAACTGGGGGTTGGAAGGCCTGAGGCAATAGACGCAAATGTGTCAAGTGCTGTTGCTTCAACGGTTCCTTATTGAACATCGCAACGCTGTGTAGTGGCCATTGTAATCATCGTTCGGCCTCTCAAGTTAAACTACATAGTTTGGGAAGAGCTAAAAACTTGGATACACTAAAGTTTGAGAAATTAAAAGATTGAACTAGAATAATAGGTTTATACCAATGTCAGATTTCTAGGTTAGTGGTGTACCTGCCAGGTATCTTATATATCATATGATATCTGCAATGGTGTGTAAACCATAAAGCTTTGTCTTTGGCCATGACCTTCCACTTGGCCACATAAAATGTAAAAGTGACTAATTGTCAGATGAGTTATCTGAAAGTGAACGTTTCATTGAAATACCGAAGCTGCGAACATTCGGTTGTCTTCGTATGTCTTTTGTTGCTTCGTAGCCTTAAGACTTATTTTACAAACAATATTTATAAGCGATTCTGTATCACCTGGCTTAGAATTACCGTACTCTATGCAGGTCCTAGAGTCCCCCCCCCCACCCAAAAAAAAATGGGGGGGGGGGGGCATATGAGTTACGGCACCGAACGACACCGACCCTAGTGGGGCCTCTGAATAGTTATAGCGTATGGAGGGGCCTCACTGTGTGGGGGGGGGGGGAGACCGCACCAGGTGACATCTTCATAGTGGGGTGACATCAAGTGGGAAATACAATGACATAGCTGGGTTTGATTGGTTGCATTACAGATTTATTTAGTTAATTACGAGTGCAAGATATCACCAGAGCAGGCGTGGGGAAGTCTGGCAAAGGGATGTGTGTGTGAGGGGGATGACATCATAAGTTGAATGTAACATGATAATATAATTATTGTACGTAAACTAAAATGAAAATAGACATTTGTGTAATAATGTTTAGA